TGGACTACAGTCCCACGAAAGCTTATGCTCTAATAAATTTGTTAGTCTCTAAGGTGCCACAAGTCCTCCTGTTCTTCTTCTTCCAATGCCTTTAAAGAATCTACACATTAGTGGGTGAGCAAACACCAACTGGGAAGCCGTTTTCGCCGTGAGATGTACCTTAAGGGAGCTGAGTGAGAGTTTAAAATGTAGTGCAAAAACAGAGGGAGGAAAGATGAGGTTGGGTCTGTGTGTTTGGAATGACACAAACTTGGAGTTGTTTCCATTTTGTAGATAAGTATGTCGAGTGGTTAGCTTTTGGTTGTGTTGCAACACGTCTTTCAGCTTGACAGAGCAATCTGCCTCTAAGCCTTGGAACTAAGAAGGAGCCAAGCTCGGAGGCGGAGGACCTGCAGGTTGGGGTTAAGGGTCAACCCATTGCTTTGAGAGAGCAGGTGAGGAATGGGCTGAAGAGAAACAGGAGGGCATATTGCCATCTGTGTGAGGTAAGGGAGCCAGACTTGTCATGGCCAAGAGGAGCAATCAGAATAATTCTCGCTTTGTTTTGTTGAATTTTCAACAGAATCTTGGATAGAGTAGGAAACTGGGAAAAGACATACAAGTGGGCCCTGTCCCATGGGAAGATGAGGGCAACTGCCAGTGAATGTTTCCCCAGGCCAGCCCTGGAGCAGTAAGAAGGACCTTTCTTGTTCTGTTCAGCAGTGAAGAGATCCATAGTCAGGATTCCCCAAAGGGCGGCTATATCTTGAAGCACTTCTGAATTCAGTACACACTCATTGTCATGAGAAAATTTCAGCTGAGACTGTCAGCCATCACGTTCTGTATCCCTGGTAGATAGACAGCTGAGATGAGCACATTGTGATGGGTGCATCAATTCCAAAGTTTGAGTGCTGTCTTGTAGAGGGAGGGAGATCTGGCAGCCCCTTGGCGATTTATACAAAACATACAGGTCACATTAAGTCCATCATGACCTTTGTGTGTTGTTTTTGATGAAAGGCAGAAAGTGTGCACAGGCACTCCTGACAGCCCTTAGCCCCAAAAGAGTGATATGGAAGGTCATTTCTGTGAAAGGCCATTTGTCCTGAAGAGGAGGTTACTCACCCTGTGCAGTAACTGACGTTCTTCGAGATGAGTGTCCCTGTGGGTGCTCCACTCTAGGTGTTGGTGCGTCCCTGCGCCTTCACTCGGAGACTTTTCGTAGCAGTACTCGTACTGGCCACATATGCGCAGAGGCTGCCCCCCGCAGTGAGTCTAGGATAATAGTGCGCATGCGTGGCCGGTCTCCTCAGTTCCTTCTCTACAACGGAGGCTACCCCAACTCCGAAGTAGAGGGGAGGAGGGT